AAGGCAAGAGAGTAATGTCCTTGTTCTGAATTATGCCCCGCAAAGGCTAAGGATCGGGAATTAAGAGATCCTACCATCGAGTGTTTACTAGCGAACTACCCTTTCACAAGCCACTGAAAGAATGCGATTTTATATATATATATATATATATATATATTTTAATCATTTCACACCAAGGAAGGCGATAATGCCACTAGGACGCAGGAGTTTCGAGTTGCATTTAAATTTTTTAGGATTGTAGTTGGCAGGGAATAAAGAAATCGGAAGACAGTTCCACATGCAAGAAGTGCGTGAAACTAAACTATTAGAATAGAAAACAGTTGTATCTAGATAGTTCAACAGTAAAAAGGTGAGACCTAGTTGCCAATCAAGTAGCGCGCTTAAATTCATGCAGTCGATGCACCAAGGAGGTTAAAAATAGCTAAAATCAACAGAAAGATTTATTTCTTCTTCTTCATCTTCTTTGTATATTGTCCCTTCAAAACATTGTTGATCATGGCTCTCCACAATTTCCTTAATATTGTAGCTCTTAGTAATTTTTGTCTTTTTGCTATCTCTCCTAACCCGTATTCTCTCATCCATTTACACAAGCTCGTTCTTTTTCATCTTCTATATCCCGTGTCCCTTGAAAACATTAGCGATCATGGCTCTCCCCAATTTCCTTAGCTTTGTAGCTCTTGGTAAATTTTGCCATTTTTGCTATATCCCTAAAAATTGTTCTGATATCCATTTACAAAATCTATTTTTTTTTCATCTTGTATATACCGTGTCTATTCAGAACATTGGCGATCATGGCTCTCCACAATTTCCTTAGCTTTCTAGGTTTCTTCCGTCTCACTTCTCTTTAGTATGCCCTGTGAGTGTCAATGAGTACTATTTTGTTTGTTTCTAAGAAGAAACAAACAAAATAGTACTCAACTATTATGTAATATCAAACCTCATCTATAGCAATGAATACCTGCCAATTTCCTCACAGGTGGAGACGTGGGGCAATAGTGATGTGGTCCTACAGGAGGATACTGAGAGCCTTTAATAACGAAAAACTGCTCTTCAGGCAAATTCGAATATACGTCGCCCTGATATAAAGCACCGTACAGCCTGGTCTGTGTGGTTCTACAGAAGGAAAATGAGGATAACATGGATCCAACATTCGAGCAACACAAAGTTTTAGAGAAAATGGAAACAAAAAGTAAACTTATATTTAACATCACGAAAAGACAGCTGAAATTTTTAGGACACATAAGAAAGAGGGCTTGAAAAATTTCATACTCACAGGTCAGGTTGAACGTAAGTTGGATTAAGGAAAACAATGCATAACTTACCTAGTGACCTTGAGTAAATGGATGGCGGAACAAGGTTTTAGAGAGATAACAAAAAGACGAAATTTATAAAGATTTACAAAGAACAGGAAGTTGTGGAGAGCCATGACTTGGAGAGGTTAAGCTTGTGCTGTTCTGGTAAGCCTAGGAGTTAGTGCTCCAAAATTGCAATTCTTGTTGAAAAATATTCTCCTTACAAGTGAAATACGGAGGAAAATATGGGTGAATACTAGCTATAAATGTTTGAACTGGTGGATCTAAAGGGTGGAGCTCATCTGAACATAGAGGAAATAGAGACAGTGTAGCGTTGGGCTTGCAACATTGTGTCTGTGGGGAAATAGGCTGTAGAGTGGGAAACACGCTATCCTCTACAATCCCAAGCTGTCGGCGAAGACCAAGATATCAGCACACTGCTATATGGCAGCGAGGCTTTGACCATGTACGCCAGGCTAGAAAGGCGTTTGAACACCTTCCATATGAGAAGCATTTGCTGCATCCTGGTAATAGCGTGGTAAGATAAGGTGCCCAACACGGAAGTCCTGTTTCGAGCAGGTTTGCCCAGAATGTTCACACTGCTCAGACAGCGCAGACTCCGTTGGTTGGGATACGTACATCACATGCCAGATGGCTACATCCCCAAAGACCTCTTATATGGAGAGCTGGTCGCTGGAAGGAGACCCGCCGGGGAGCCACAGCTGCGGTACCGCAATGTCGTGAGGTATGGACATCAACAGAGAGCCTGGCAGCCATACGATCCAAATGGAGAGGGACCCTGACCAAACACCTCAAGTCAGGGAAGGAGAAGCTAACACGTCGCCACAGAAAGGCAGGCCTGCGGAAAGCAAAGTCACAGCTCCAACAGACAGAAAACACATGCGACCTCTGCAACAGAGATTGTCACTCTCGCATCGGCCTCTACAGTCACAGACGTCGATGCTCCAGCCAAGCAAACAACTAGGATGCTACCCATGGTCAACCCTAACCGATGGAGACCTGCATCTACAAGACGGCGTAAAAGATTTTGAACTCTATCAAGGCTAGAAAGTGGTGATTAAGCAGCTCCAGATCCCAGACACCACCTCCAGATGTGTCAGCAATATTCCATTTTTGATCAGATCTGGCTCTTGTAAAGATATGGCCGTGGCAGTTAGATACGTCCTGGAAGGATGCAAGAAGCCAACCATTTTTTTCCATTTTCTTTAATGATAAATTGTATATATGAGCATACTTTGAATATTGCAGCTACGTATGACCCTATACGCCTGCTTTCTATTTAGAGATTCTTGATAAAATTCAAACAATCAGCAATATTACTGACCCTAATTGACATATGGGGACAAGTAAGGATTTTCATAGAGACAATGTGGTATTATGGTGTATGTAGTAAGAAAGATAAGCAAGAATGTGTTGTTTTGGTGTTAGGAATATTGTGGTATGTTTGGGTCAGTGTTTGTGGCTAGCTAAGTTTAAATTTAAGACAGAAGAAGACTGTCCTTTTGCCCCATTCCTCATTGTGGCACATTTTGTAAATATTTACAAATAAATGGCATCTATATTTTGTGAATTTAAGCGAATTACCAGATTAAGTCTCATTAATTGAATTAGTTAGATGTAACCGTAAATCCTATGCTAAGATTTTTTCTCGCACTTCTCGCTTGTGGAACACTCTTCCGACTCCATATTTGATCTTCAAAAATTTAAATGCAATGTCAACCGTTAGTTATTGTCTTCCTGATTATTTTTCTATTGTTCTCGCGCCTTGGTAATGTTTCTGTTTTCTTGTTGCTTCCCACTCACTAAGCCCTTGTGTCTTAGTAGCTTTACTGCTTTGTATGGGGTGAATTCGATTTTTTTAAAAACTAGGTCTCAGATGAACTTCAATCCGAACAGAAATTCAAAGCAAGAATATGTGGAAAAGAAGTTGCAAAGTAGAAAATGTCATTTCCTAAAAATTGCTCGATGTAACCGTAAGTTCTATGCTAACAATTTCTTCTCTGGCCCTGCTCACCTTCGACTTCTTGCTTTCCAGTCAAGATTGATCTTCAAAAATTTAAATGCAATACCAACCACTAACTTCTATCTTCTTAATTCCTATTCTTTTATTGTCTTCTCTCCATAAAAATGTCTACATTTTTCTCATATTTTTCACACTCAGTAGCCTCTTGCGCCTTAGTGGCTTTATGGCCTTGCTTGTGGTGAAATGATTAAAAGAAATCGCGACGTCTATTTCAAACGTTCGTATCAAATAAATAAGCCGGAAGAGTAAAATGATGAGACCTAGCTGCCAATCTAGTACTGCGCTTAAATTCGAAAAGTCTGCGTATTAAAGAGGAAAACTTATCAGAACAATTACCTTAAAAAAATTTAGTTCTCAGGTGAACTTGAATCCGAAAAAAATGTTCAAAGCAAGACTCGGTGGGAAATAAGTTGGAAAGTAGAAAATAGGTCACCCCTCCCTACAAAACCACGTGAAAGATTTTCAGTTCTATCAAGCCTATATGTGATGATGGAGCAGCTCCAGGTCAGATATGGCGCTGTTATTGAACTTTTGATTCTTGAACCGATTGCACCGCACGAAATCTATGATCTCTTGCAAAATTTCTACCATGAGAATAGCTATATGGGCATTGGTCAAACGTTGGGCTCTCGAGTGCCTTGAAGAAGTGCCGTGGTCAGGGTGACTTGTTCGGAGGCAAGTTGGTTGAAAAATAAATGTATTTGTCGAAAATAAAACAAAAATATTATTTTCCAGTTGCATGTCATTAAAAATATTGCGATCAAAACTTTTTGAGCAGTCCTCATGTGTCGATGTGCGGTAGACAAAATGATCTAAAATCCTCACAAAACTAAGAGGTCACTCGCGATATTTATGTTCTCCATGGGAATTTATCGGACACATCCAAAGATTCACTTGTTTATGTTGGACTGTTTTTGTTTTTTATATATTGGATCGGATTTCCTACACTTTTCAACCGATTTCAACAAAACTTCACAGGACTACGTAAAATTACCTTGCGGTGGTTCTGACAGCGCCAAAAATTGGAAAAACACAATTGTTTTTGCATGAAATCAATTTGAAAACACGATTAAGAGGCATCGCAGTCGCGAGAATGAAAGGGGGACAACTCATATCGAGTTATATTTATAAAAGCCCAGGTTGTTTGTGTGTGTGTGTGTGTGTGTGTGTGTGTGTGTGTGTGTGTGTGTGTGTGTGTGTGTGTGTGTGTGTGTGTTCGTTCGTTTATATATCGTTTTATGGAATCGGATTTCCTACATTTTTCAACCGATTTCAACAAAACTTCACTTTTTTTTGGCAAGTAGTGTTTCTTATTGTATTGCACACTTTTTTCTTTATTTTTACATTCAGAATGCTTTAAAATTCCATTTACAAGACAATTATTTATAATAAAATTCTATTCAATCGGGAGACTCATAACGATTGAAAACAATGTTTTTGTTTGAGTTTGGGTTTGACCAATTCGTAAAAAAAATAAATAAAATAAAATAAAACTAATTAAGACATGTGTGTCCGTCAACCTTAAACAATAATCTTTGTCAATTTTATTTTTCAGTCTTTATGATGGTCAATACTTGATCTATCTCTTACTGTTACATCCCCGGGCAATGCCGGGCTCTACTGCTAGTTTTAGATAAACCTCTTTTCTTTTCTTTTCTTTTCTTATGATTTTTAGTCTTTCTTCATCATTTTTCTTTTTTTCTATTTCTTTTTTTCATCATCTTTTTTCTCGTTCTGTTTTATCACAAAATTTTAAGGCTAATCATTTTTATTCATTTTTTCTCATTTCTCTTTCATCTTCTTCTTTTTTTCATCATCTTTTTTTCTCGGTTTGTTTTATTAGAAATTTCAAACTGCTCTCTTTATTCCTCTTATTCTTCATCCTTTTCTTCATCCTTTTCTTTGTCTTTTTTGTTTTTCTTCTTTTTTCTTTTTCTTCTTTTTTCTTTTTCTTCTTTTTTCTTTTTCTTCTTTTTTGTTTTTCTTCTTTTTTCTTTTTCTTCTTTTTTCTTTTTCTTTTTCTTTTTCTTCTTTTTTCTTTTTCTTCTTTTTTCTTTTCTTCTTTTTCTTCTTTTTTCTTTTTCTTCTTTTTTCTTTTTCTTCTTTTTTCTTGTTCTTCTTTTTCAATATCTGTTTTTATTTCGTCCTCTTTTGCCACACTTTCTAATTTGTTTCCTGTACCTTTTTTTTTTTTTTTTTCATCCTTTTATTCACTTTTTTTCAATTTATTTCATCCAAAAAATTTTAGGATGTTTTTCCTCATTTTTTTTTCATTTTTTTTTTTTATTTATCTTTTTTCTTTTTCTATATTATTGCTTTCTTTTCCTTTTCCTTCTGTTTTTCTTCGTCTTCTCTCAATTTTTTTAAGCTGATTTCTTTTTCCCTCATTTTTCTTCTTTTTCCTTTTCTGCATCCTTTTTTTCTTCTTCTTCTTCTTCTTCTAACTTTTATGTTCATCTCTTTTTACTCATTTTTTTCACGGAGAGCGGAGTTCCAATTCCAGTCGGTGTTTTTATTTCCACTTACGCGCAATTAACTTTGGGAAAGTTAGGAATCCACCTCCTCTCTCCCAGCTATGGGTTAATTATTAAAACGTGTAAACCATTATTATCTAAAAAAATATTTATAAATACACATTTATATGTTTAGGTTTCATTTAAATTCTAATCGTAGTTTTTTTAAAACAATAAAAATTACCAAGAATTGAAAATAGATAAAATCATAACAGTGTCAAGGGAGAAAACATCCTTTTGTCACTCCTTTTTTTTATTTTTGTGTGAGTTTGTGAGTGCGAAGTTTAAAGATTACCAAAAATTGATACAATTTAAAAATATTTTCTGGCTTTAAATAACCTGCAGAGGGTCGATAATCCTTAACCCTAGAACACTAACCATCAATTAAAGTTACACCACTACTAACCATGGGTATATCATACCCGATTTTGAAAATATCAAAAAAAAAAATATTAAATATAAATCTTTATTTGAAATATTTTACATGCAGGCACTTCAAACTTTGTACTTTGTGTTAACATTAATAGGAACTGAAAAACATATTATTTAGGTCAGAAAATCAGGTACTGAAAATTGTAATTAAAAATAGGAAGATTTGCGCTGGGTACTACTACCCATCGTTATTGTTCTAGGGTTAAAAATCTATAAAATCACTTTATTTAAATTTTTTTTCGTTTTCTTTTCATCATTTTTTTCTCATTTTGATTTATTGCAAATTGTTAACTATCTCTTCTTCTTTATTTCATTATGAGTAATTTTCTTTGCTTAACAATGAAATTCCGAATTATCAAAACATTTGGGGTTTACCTTTTCCAATCATTAGATCTTCACGTCGCACACACGCTCGCCAGTCGGTCTAAACTGGACCTGACACTCCCAATGGGTGGAACAATGGTTAAAGTGGAAAGATAAGAATTCCAAAAAGGCGGGACAGGAAACAGACCATAAAATAGTGGCATTAAAGTTAGAGGAAACCACAATCTGCGTAATGGCCGCTTGTTCGACTTTTCTTTTTGCAGACGATAACCAAGATTCTTCTTACTTAATTTTTTTTTTTTTTTTTTTTTTACCCCGATTATCTGTTGTCGGCTGACCAAAAGGTCGGCGTAGCAGGGAGAAAGTATTCGTTATCTTTATTAAAAGATTTCCGAATTTGGTGGTTGATTAGGTTTTGGTCGTCAGAGGCGGGGTCGAGTTTTTTGTTTTGTTTTTTTTTTTTTTGAGTGGGGGGGGTCTTCTTTTTTTTTTCGTTTTATGGGGTCAGCAGATTATTGAGCGAGGACCGTCAGATCGGAGACTTGTTTTTCGGTTCTTAGATAATTAAAAAGCAAATAAAAGCGACGCGGAAATGAGATATTTAAAATAATAAAGAGTTATATTTGCAATTAATACAAGAGACGGGTAACAACAAAGGAAAGAGATAACAAATAAGTTTTATAAGAAAAAGAAATGACTAAGAAAGAAAAACGAAAAGAAGCGTAATAAAAGGAAAGACGAAGAAGGAAATGAATGAGAAAGAAGAAAAAATTGAAAGATAGGAAAAGTGAAAAGAAAAGAAATAAAAAGAAAGACGAAGAAGGAAATGAAATAGAAAGAAGAAAAATTCAAAGTTAAAAAAATCGAAAAGGAAGTGTAATAAAAGGAAAGACGACGGTACAAATGAATGAGAAAGAAAAACTGAAAGATAGGAAAAGCGAAAAGGAAGGATAATAAAAGGAAAGACGAAGAAGGAAATGAAAATGAAAGAAAATAATTTAAAGAAGGAAAAACGAAAAGTAATAATAATAAAACGAAAGAAGAAGCAGGAAATGAATGACAAAGATAAAGACAAACTTTGAAAGAGATCAAAAACGAAAACTTGTAATAAAATAAAAGTGGAAGAAAGAAATGAAAGAGGAAAAATTTGAAAAATAAAAAAAATGAAAAAGAAGGGTAATAAAAGTAAAGAAGGAAAAGGAAATGAAACAGAAAGAATAAAAAATAACAAAATCTAAATGAAAAGGAAAGTTAATAAAAGGAAAAAGGAAGAAGGAAATGAAAGAGAAATAAGAAAAAATTGAAAATAGGAAAAGTGAAAAGGAAGGTTAAGAAAAGGAAACACGAAAAAAAAAATGAAAGAGAAAGAGGAAACAGTGTGAAATAAAAGGATAAACGAAAAGAAATGGTAATAAAAGGAGAGAGGAAGAAGGAAATGAAAGAGAAAAAAGAAACAACGTAAAAGAATAGTATAACCAAAAAAAAGTGTAATAAAAGAGAGAGAAAGAAGGAAATGAAAAAGAAAAAAGAAGCAATGTGAAAGAAAAAGATAAACGAAAAGGAAAGGTAATAAAAGGAAAAAGGAAGAAGGAAATGAAAGAGAAAAAAGAAACAACGTAAAAGAAAAAGATAAACGAAAAGGAAGGGTAATAAAAGGAAAAAGGAAGAAGGAAATGAAAGCGAACAAAGAAACAATATGATAGCAAAGAAGTAGATGTCGAAAAACTGAAGTAAAAATACAAAAGAAATCCAATAACACCATTTCGTCTTAAACTATTTCTTTGTCCTGAAAACCCCCGAATTAAAATCCTTATTACAAGCAATCTATGTTTTGAATTTTCTTATGAATTATAAATCTCTATTTAATTATTGAATAGGTTTATTGCGAATACGACAACTATAAAATACTATAGGAAATTCTGCTATTTCCACCTGAAATATTTGAGCTGAACAATTTTAACGAAATATTACAATAAAAATTAGAATTCTGAATAGAAATTAGAGACATGTCATAATAGATCATTCCATCTTAAATAAATCAACAATGTAATTTTTAACATCAGCTTGAGATTTTTCTGGGCTCAGTATATGTTGAACAATTACAAATGTGCCTGAGCAAACGTCTGCAACAAGGATTTGCTAGCCGCTCTAGCTGACCGATGTTCCTGGATACGAGTAGCCGGTAAATATATATGGAGACGCTCTTTTTTGTTCTTTTTTTTTAATTACTTGTTTTTTTTTATTTTACTTATTTATGTTTTTGCTTTTTGCAGGAGAGTTATCTAAAACTAAAATATAAAATTATGTCTAAAATATAAAATCATGCGTGTATACAATTAAAATAATAATAATAATAATAATAATAATAATAATTTTGTCAAAGCACTTCAATACGAAATATTCACGCAAAAATTAGTTCCAAACAGCCTTAAACAAATAGAGATCTATGCCATAATCTTGATACGCTTCGTTAAAATCCGATGGACGTAGCCGTTCCTCAACAGACATATTGTCGTCTGCTGTTAATAATTCCCAAAAATAACAAGCCCCGACGCTTTTCGAGTCTGACTACTTAACGGCCAAATTTAACCATTGGCGCGACCATATTTAATATACGAACAATTACTCAGCGACCGGAAAGTAGATTGTAAGAGAATTATCTGTTACTGTGCAGCAAAGGGATCGCAATAATAAATTACAAACATTAAAGAGATGGAAAGTACTTGAGAAATAAGTGATTTTCACTGTTCCAGTGCATTTCTTGCATCATTTGATTACAATACACGGGAAAATATCCGTGAATATGAACGGATTATACTAAAAATAAGCAGAAATAATGTTTGTAATTTATTTACTCAGACATGCCTAAAAGAGAATTTGCTGCCTAAATACACAAATATATATGCGTGTGTGTGTATGTGTGTGTGCGTGTGTAAAAATTTCTCAGAATTAACTTGTAGAAAAAGACAATATGTATAAAGGAAAAAAGACAATAGAAAAATTGTTGTTTTAGTCGACGCTTTTTCGCCCACTGTGGACCTTTTCAATACTCTCACTAGTCAATGTACACAACAAATCAAAGGAAAATGGTTGAATCCGTCAACATAATAATTCAAACAATATTTGAAAATATTTTCTTCAATCCTAAAGTAACTGACTTAATTTTTCAGTTGTCCAAATACAATAGCGTTTCTAAATGCTTCTAGTTGCTAACGACATTTTGTTTGTTGTTTATAGATACTTTGTTTCAACGAATTCATTTTGTTTTTTGCCTTGAAAAAAGCCAACATTGGACGAAACGTGTCGGCTAAAATTACAGTTCTGTTATTGTCTTTTTTCCTATATATATATATATATATATATATATATATATATATATATATATATATATATATATATATTTTTCATTGAATACGACAGACAAGGTGGTTTGATTTAGTTTTTATACAATTTCTCATGCGATCTAGTAATTTTTTTTTCTTTTCGGATGATAAATTATATAAAAACTGTCCGAATGTTCTTTTAATCCGAGCGCCTTCGGCTATACATTTAGCCATTTTCAAGGATGAAATATTTTAGCGCTTGCATTAAAAGAACATTCGGACAGTTTTATATAATATATCATCTGTAAAGAAAAAAAATTAGATCGCATGAGAAATTGTATAAAAAAAAAATCAAAGCACCTTATCTGTCGTATTCAATGAAATGTGTACGAAAGAAGAATTGCTGTCTAAATACACAAATATATATATATATTTAAGTAATTCATCGAGTCTGAAAGAAACCTCAACAGAATGCAGAAAGCACTGGACGACCGTTTCGTCCTATATTTGGGACTCATCAGCAGTGCGCATCCACTACCGAGAATTGAAACCCTGACAGTTGGGTTGTCAAGCGAATATCATACTATATATATATATATATATATATATATATATATATATATATATATATATATATATATCAAGTGATAATGTTGAACACCATCACGTGAGAAGACACCAGAAGTGTTGAAACAAAATAGCTATTTTTGTGGTGATTTTATAACATTTTTATGTTATAATTTTCGAATAAATGATTATAGATAAATAGATCGATATATATATATATATATAGATATAGATCTATGATTGAATAAATTACAGATATTATGTCTGCTAATTTTTAACAAAATCCGTTCATACTCACGAATAACCTTCCGTGTATTGATGTTAAAGGATGAGAGAAATGCCCTACAGCTGTTCAAATTTCTTTTATTTTCATTTCCCAAGTACTTTTGATCTTCTTCAAAGATCATCTTCAGGGGTGCAAGTAGTACAAAACTTTATGTTGTTCATTAATATAAGTATTTATACAAAGTTGTGCGTTGTTATCCATTACCGTAATTTTTTTATTATGCTTTTAAATGCAAACCCGTTGACAATGTGCTGAACGTTCACTAGAACGTGAAAAAGTTATCCATTATGGAATTTTTTCCTGTTATAATGTCATGGTCATTCGCGCATTAAAGCGTAAAAAAAAATGTTCCTTTACAGGCATTTCAGAACATTACTGCAGTATTCATAGTTGATTCTATTCAGTGCCAGCTTAAATTTTATAATATAAGTTGCTTCTAGTATCTGTAATCTGAATTTGTTGTTTTCATGGTGCAGGATATTTGTGTTGTTGATTATATACCACACCTTTCTCATTTTATTTTCATCATAGTTCACGTGGTAAATATCATAGTATATATTTTTGAATAACTGGTTTAAGGAAAAATGAATACTTCTTTGTCAAACTTTTCGGCAATGCTAAATAAAATCCATACATTTCGTTTATAATACTTAATGAGGGAGTTTTCTTTCACACAAAAAACTTCTAAACTCAAACATAAAAAATAAACATAAGTAACCAATATCATATACCTATAATATAAATGTAAACCAAACGAAAACAGATAATTGCTGCATCAGCTTTTATTTTATTTTTTTTTTTTATCCTTTACTGGCAATGTTGAAAAGACATAAGGTAAATCAAGGCAAAATGTCTTGTGAACCAATAAATGGGCTAAGAAAATGTGAATTTCAAAGCCATTTAATAAAGTGAAACATGCTTCTGTAATGTGAAGCCTGTGCGTGTCTTTTGCTCCACAAATACTTAAGTCGGGGTCGAACTTTAGATAAACACACACGGATTTCATTCCCAATTGAGAGGAGATGATGTCTGGCTTTGCTCTTGATACTTGTTAAATAAAATGAAGGTGCTTTCACACTGGCACTTTACAGACATCACTAAATATATTCCCAACGATTGTTATATTTTTTAATAACATAATAATTTAGATAGGATAATGTCTATATTACAATATTACAATAACCAAGAATATATTATGTGTGTTTAGTATTATTACGTATATGAAAATTATATGAAATTAAATAAAAAGTCAAAAGTGCATTATCTCACCTGTTCTTGCGGAACCCTTGGAGACCTTTTGCGGAATCTTAGAGTTCCGGAGAAACCTGGTTGAGAAAAGCTGCTCTAGCCAGATCAGAGCGAAAATGGAGTGATGTTGTCATATTTGAGCAGGAGCTGCCCATACCTCACTCTCCAGCTTTGATAGAGTTCAAAAGCGCCTCTGGGCCCTTGCGGGTGACGAATTATTCTCCACCCTTCAAACTGTTTTTTTTTTTTTTTTCCACGGGGGGAAATGTGTCAAGCCTCTCGCTGCTCTGCCACTACTTCAACGGAAAGTGCTCGGATGAACTCCATTCCCTGGTCCTGCTGAGGAATACCTTCACGGCAAGAACACTCTATGCCACTTACATAGTAACAAAACACCCACATTGCCCCCGTATTCCATCGGTGAGAAGTAAGTTCCACTCTAGCAGCTTCTTCCTGCAAACCACTGCCCTATGGAAGCGACTCCCAAAAGGATATTTCCCCGAATCTTAACCTGTTCAAGGCTAGGGTTAACCGTTATCTTCCACTCTTATACACTGAAATGATCTCCAAACGTAACCCTCTACCTCGAGTGACCCCCGGGCTTTGTAAAGGGGGAACCTAACTGTAAAAAAAAATGTAAAAAATGCCAGTCATGAATTGAAAAGAGATCTGAGTGACAAAGTTTGTATCATGTACCACACTTAACTGAGTGGCTGAACTTACAGAAACATTGCCATAAAAACACACAGCTATGATTATAGAGACACACATACTACCACGTACATTATAGTTGAAAAAAAAAAGAGAAAACATTCAAAATTAATAAGAGTATACATAAAGGCAGTTTAATCCAAACAGGTACATGTTGAGAGTTTAGGTTCCTTCCTAAATGTCACTGACGTCACAAGTTTATGCGTTGTCACATACGGCAATTTCAAAACGAAAGTAGTTTTTTTTTCACTTTTCTCTTTTTGTTTCTTTATTTACGTCACCCATTTCTACCAATGTTGAATTCAATAGATAACTTTAAACAAAACAAGTTCAGTTGACCACTGATGACAATTCCAGAACAACGTAACTATAAACAATTTTTTCTATCCTCTGCCCGCCGCAATGATGGAGAAAGCATTACCTCGAACCATGGCCAGTGAGACACGCTACAAGAGCCACTCTGTTTCGCGAGGCTCGTCCCTTAATCGAGACGCAATCGCGCCTGTCCTCCGAAAGAACGCCATCGAACGAGGGCCAATAAAACCTGAAGTCTCCACTGCCACAGGAGTAAAAAAAAAAATCTATCAGCAAGAGAAGAATATTTAACTATTTTTTTCATCTCTGCAT